GGGGGGGGAGGGGGTGGGGGGGGATGGGGGAGAGGTGGGGTGAGAGGGGTGAGTGGGGGAGGTGGGGAGAGGTGGGGGTGCGGTAAGAGGGTGAGGGGTGAGAAGTGGGTGGTGGGTGATGGAGAGGTGGGGTGAGGAGGGGTGAGTGGGAGTAAGGAAGGGAGAGGGGGAGGGGAGAGGCAGGGGAGGGGGAACGACGGGTGCGGGGTAGACAGGGTTGAAGGGGGAGAGGTGGCTCAGGGCCGAGGACCTTAGACTGAGCTGGAAGGAGCTAGAAGCCCCCGAAGGTCTGGGCCCAGGTGATTGGGAGGCGGTGGGCCCAGCGAGGAGGGTCCTTCCAGCAGGGGAAGGGGCGGAGGGGAGGCTTGTCTCAGAGGGGGGTCCCTGAAAGGCCAGCTTCCACCTGGGACACAGGCTTGGGGCAGTGGACCGCCCACAGGGGACAGGCCCTCCCTGTCCCCCACCCCGGGAGCCATGATTGCTTTGGCAGGTAAGGTCTGCAGAGATTGGGGGGGGGGAGGTGGGGGACGCCAGACCCCTCCCCCTGCCGCCCCTGCCCTGCCCTGCCCTGCCCGGGGGCTCGGGCTCCCCCTTCCCACTGAACCTGCAGACCACTCCCCCACTTGCCCCGATTTCCTCTGGAACCTGATGGCACGAGGCTGCTACCTCATCACCCCCGCTCCCCGAAACCGCTCCTCAGAGCACACCTGGCCTGTCCCGGGGGCTGCGCGCCTGCGACGGGGCCCAAATGTACACCTGCAGGGTACCGGCCCGGCTCTGACGCCCGTTCGCAGTGCGTGAACGGGGGCTGTGCGTCCACCTGCTGGGCCGGGGGCCACCGTGGGGAGGGCGCCAGCTTCGGTGCCTGGAGGCTCCCTGCTGGGGGGAGGGGCGGGGCTGGTATACAGCAGGAGCCTCATAAAGGCCACGGTGCACTGATCTGATAAGGAGCGTCATTGTTGGTGTGTGAACCAGCTTCCCTCGTGAGCACTCATGAGCCCCAGAGCCCGGGGTGGGTGAGGACACACTGGGGACCCCAGACTCTGGGAAGAGGCCCAGGCCCCCTGGAGGGGGGCCCACAGCCTGCTGCTGCCCGCCCAGTCCTCCCCACCTCCACCCGGGGCTGGGAACGAGGCCGGCCACGTGCATCCGGAGCCAAGGCGGACGTCACAGGTGTCCGCTAGGCCTCCCGGGTCACTAGGTCCGTGTGAAAGGCCACCGGCCTGAAGCCCAAACACGCGCTTCGCCCTCCCGGAATGGGGGGCGCCTCGGGACCGTGGTTCACCAAGAGCAAACAGCAGTTTGCGCCAGAGGAGGGTGAGCGAATGCCGGTGTGTTTGTTTTCCCATCTGCAAATGGCCTGGGAGGGGGCTGGCGGAGCGCGGGGGGCCAGTCCCGAGCCGCCTGCAGATGCCCGGACCGACCCACCACCCTGGGGTCCCAGCTGCCCCTCCCGCCGCATGACTTCCTCCCAGCCCTGAGCATCACATACCCCGTCTGGGTCACGGGGGACCTCTGTGTGACAGCTCAGGACTGTCCTGTCATCTGCTGGGAAGAGGACAGGACAGCCCTCCCCCCTCCTCCCACGCCAGGAGGATCCGCCCCAAACGAGGACAACGCCTCGGTGCAAACCCCCGCGCGTGGGCACCCGTCCCTCGGCCCTGGCGCCCTGCCCGCCCCGGGAAGCAGGCAGACACCGCACTGGGGTTTTACCAATTTTATTTCTAGACTTTTCACGTTTGTCTTTTGTTTTCTGCTGGAAACGTGCCGGTGACACGCCTGTGCTGGGAAATGCCGCCGTGCGCCACCAAAACACAGGCCACAGCCGCCTCCCCGCCCCCCACCGCCAGAGACCCTCACAGACTTGCTGGTCACAGGACAGCCTCTGCTGTGCTCCCCAGACCGGCCGCAGCCTTTGGCCTTGGGGCACACACAACGTTCACCCCCTCCCAGGACAGACCGTCCCTCCAGGACCCCGCTGGGTTCACACACAGATGCCGCAGCCAGAGCGTTGAGGTAAGCAGAGGCGGTGCTCCTGCAGGGGCGGGGCGGGGCGGGTTCGGGGCCTGCCAATGGCCTGGGAGCACGCAGGCTGACCTGGCCGGGCACGGGCCGCAGACGGGGCAAATCCTTGGAGGGGAGCAGCCTGCTGGGCGAGTCGGGCACACGGAGCGTCACCGAGACCTAGAGTCCTTTGAAATTAGCATCATGCTGTTGAAGAGAGCAACACAGACAACGCGGGGACAGAATGACACATGCCACACGGCCAGAGCCGCCGGCCGGTCCCGAAGCCGCTGCGGGCGTCCCGGGCCCCATGCACGCGGCGCATTCAGACGCGCTTGTTACAGTAATAATAACAATGCAACTTCCATAGCTACACGCAGAGAACGACACAGCTGTAAAAACTACAGTGGTGGCACGTCCCAGGTCGGGGGACAGCCCAGCATCACAGGCGCGGGGAGGAGGCAGCGGACGCGGCCCAGGGGCCCATCCCGCCAGGCCCGCGCGGGGGCCCCATCCGCGCATCTGTTCGCCGAAGCGGGAGGCCGCGGGTCAGACGGGGCCTGAGCGCCTGGTCTGCACGTGGCTGAGAGAAGCATGAGGTATCGTGAAACGGGGCCTTTTTGGAATAGAGCAGTAATCACATTAAGTCAAAATTGATCACATAAAAAAAAAAAACTACAAAAAAAAAAAGGCATCCTTAATACATTTTTCTATGAGAAAATTAAAACTAGAACATGGCAGTATATGACATCGTAAAACAAAACAAAACAGAACAGAACAAACTGATCCTCCAATAGCAGCAAACAACGTGAAAGAGACACAGAGAAGCAAAATGTGAATCTGTTTCCAAACCGGGTGCTGGGAAGTCATTGGTAGCAGCGAATCAGGAAACGGAGCGGCAGCCGTGCCCGTCGCGTGGTCCGCCCTCAGCCCTCCGCGCCTCGCGCCTCGCACCCTCGCCAAGCACCAGCCCTGCGCCCTCGCCACCTGCTGACAGCCCCGACGCAGTCGTTACAGAAAGGTACACAGCCAAGATGTGCAAATTGTCTAGGGGTTGCTAAACTTGTTTAAAAGGAGGGGACCAGGGGACAAGAATATGTTGGATCTGAACTTGTTCCGAGCACACTAATTTTCCACCTAACTGACGCCTCTCAAACTGGGGTCCCGCCCTGGGGACACTCCATACTGTGTTTTTTCTCAGGACTTCTGTTCCCTCTCCTATAAAAAAGGACCTAACGGTTATAAACTGTACGAAACCCATAACACCAAAGGCAGAAAGGTGTGTGTGTGTGTGTGTGTGTGTGTGTGTGTGTGTGTGTGTTTACATGTTTACATCAAGGGGAGATTACATTACTTTATAAATCATACTGGCCTTACGAACATCCTCTGCAATAAATATTCTTTTTAGCCTTAACTATAAATTATATATTTTAGTGTTTAAAAACCTTCCTAACCCTTAAACTACACCTTCTCTAGGTAAACCTTTAAAGGCCCCTACTTTCAAACACCAGTTGGCACCAAAGGTTTCCTAAACTGCCACTACCCTACAGAGAAAGAAACGCATCATCCTGGAAATGTAAGAATGCACTTCTTGACCGGAAGCTTGCCTTCGAGAACATCCCTTCTCACTAACTCCACAGCGACATGCACTTGCTTCACAATCCCGTCTGCACACAAGTACGGGAGTATTCCCAAACCATTCCATTAAGAAACTGCCCCCCCTTCCACACACAACATAAACACAGAGATTCGTTGAAAGTGCTTTGAAATGGAATGGTTCTAGAATATCGAGAAGGAAAAATGGTTCTAGAATATCGAAGAAAAAAATTGCTTCTAGAATATTAAAAAGAAAATGGTTCTAGAATATCGAAGAGGGGAAAATGGTTCTAGAATATTAAACGCGAAAAACGGTTCTAGAACACTAAATAGGAAAACGGGCTCTAGAACACTGAAGAGGAGAAAATGGTTCCAGAACATTAAACAGGGGAAACGGTTCTAGAACATTAAACAGGAAAACGGGCTCTAGAACACTGAAGAAGAGAAAATGGTTCCAGAACATTAAACAGGGGAAACGGTTCTAGAACATTAAACAGGAAAACGGGCTCTAGAACATTGAAGAGAAAATGGTTCTAGAAAATTGAGAAGGGAGGGGAAAAAAGGAGCCATAGATTTCACCTGGATGTGAGTAGGCTGCGGGTCTGTGGGGTGAAAAGCCAGCATCTCCTAGTAACTACAAAAATATGAAGATTATAAAAATAGAATATATTACGTTGCTATTGCGGGTTCTTTTTACGGTAGCGCAGGCTGGAAGCGGGAGCTGGATTTCCGTGGCCGCCGCACGCCGGCCACCCGCTCCGGGTCGGGCGGAGGGCGGAGGGAGGGGCTAGTAGGCAACCACGCGGTGCCCTGTGCCACGCCACCGGAGGGGACACCAGCCGCTGACGGGTGAAGAGGCTGCTCGCCTACCTACGGGATAGAATGAATGCGCACAAATGACTTGGGTATAAAGTGACTACATGCACGGGCGAGATGCGGGCTGCTGGACCCGCGGCCAGGCCGCGCCCTCCGGGACGGCGAACACGCCTGCCACCTGAGCTCCTCTTCTAGTTCCGAGCTGGCTTGTTGGCTTTTGTCTCGTTTTTGAAACGTTTTTCTGCTTTTTGCTGTCGTTTTGTATTAAACACATAAAGAATGGAATCGAATCCTCCCCTGCAGATGCGCTCCTTGTGTTAATGACTATTGTTACCACATAGAGACACAAACACGGTCGTATGTAACCTAGTTGATTATGGGGTATAAGAGCCTCTATTTTGGTAGCACAGCCTCCCCCACCCCCTCCCCCCAGCTCAGGGTTATGCAAATACTATTTTTTTTTCTCTCCCTTTTTTTTTTTAAAGACACTTTCTCGGGTACTTTTTTTTTTCTTTTGCTTATGTCAGAGACAGAAGGGAGAAAGAGCAAAGGGAAAAAAAAAACCGACAGGAAAGGAGAAGGAAGCTTTTTCCCTTCTGGTCGTGACCGGTCCTGGCGAGGAGCGGTCCTGTCCAGGGAGCACCCGGGCCGGCCCCCTCCCGCGCCGCGCATGCGCCCTCAAATGTTCACGTCTCGAACGTCGGTGGGTGTGCAGGCCAGGTCGGCCTCCTCCTCCTCCTCCTCCTCCGCCGCCGCCTTGGGGTCCAGGCTCTGCTGCTGGGCCTGGCGAAGGCTGGACTCGAGCAGGCCTTCGATCTGCTCCTGGCACGCCCGGAGACAGTCCTGGCCAGACAGGGGACGGGGGACAGGGCGTCCTCAGGAGGGGCCTGCAGCCGGGCCCTCCTGCAGACCCAGGGCCGGGGCCACTCTTGTCAAAGTGAGGCCGATCTAGAGCACCCCAGTGGGGCGGGGCCGCCGCCCAACCCCCAGGACCCACCAGCGTGGGCGCCCTGTGCCCACCTGGTACCTCCCTGGCCTGTCCCGAGGCCCCCCAGGACCCTGCCCCCCCTCCCAGAATTCCTCTGCCAGGCTCCAATCCTGGCTCACTGGTCCCCCCCCGGCCCCACCACTGCCCTCAGCGAATTCAGCGCCATCTGATCCGGGACAGAGAGGCCCTCTGAGCCCTACTCTGGGGACTTAACCTCTGCCGTGTCAGCCCTCGCGGTGAACCCAGCCTTCCGTGATGAATGGCTGTCAAAAGCGTTAGGCCGCGCATGACTGAGAATGAACGCTGGGTGGCCCGGGGAAGGGGCTAGGTGGGGACACTCAGACCCTTTATCCCCGTTCGGTCCTCACCCGCTTGGCCTGCACCCTGGGAGACACACTGGCCTGGCCCAGGGTGCACCCGCCCCGCAGCCCTCCTCTGCCAGCGATCACCCCAAGTTCTCGACACCCAAGAAGAATCTTGGGAGACTTGGGGCCTCTTGTGGGCTCCCGGTGGCCGGTCTCCCAGCAGCTTGGGAGTGCAGGGCTCAGGCCGTCCCGTTCCAGCCCCTGGGACGCCGCCCTGGGGCTTCTGTTCCGGAGCCAGGCACTCTCCAGTCCAGCCTGGAAGACAGATCTGAGCCTTTCCCCAGAGGAACAGGCGAACCTCGGCCCACCTGGGAAGGGTGCCGCTAAATGGGTGTCCACTGCCCCCAAGAAGGGGATCGAGGCCAGCAAAGGTTCTGCGTGAACCCCTGGGGACCGGCCGCGTGTAGGGAGCAGCATGCTCTCCCGCAGAGGGCGTGCCCGCCTCTTCCGTATGCGTCCCATAGGAAAGCGGGGAAGGTGTCGAGAGCCAACTTTACAGCCGAGGAAACTGAGGCCTGAAAGGCCTGGTGTGGGACCCAGGGCAGAGGGGTGCAGGCAGGGGACTTGCTTCCTCCTCGTGGCCACTTGGACCTGCAGCCTCGGCCCAGAAGAGCCGACTCTGGCAACCGGGAGCCAGCGCTGAGCAAGGGCAGACGCGGCTGGTGGCCCGGAACCCACAGCGCTCGGCCACTGTGGCTTTCTGCGTCTGGGCTCAGCGATATTTGTCGCCGGGTAACAAGACTAGCAAATCTCAGCCTCGACTGACTTCTCCCCCTTCCGTCAGCTGAGATCGTGTTCCAGATCTAATTGACACGATCTCTATTCAGATAAGGGGTCGAGTTCCTACAACGAACGGTCTGGTGCCCAGCACCGTCCGTCCGTGGTGTTCCCCCCTGAAGGACGGGGCAGGGCTCACGCTACCAGGGCACCCCATCCTTCTGTGGGGGGGGGCCCAGGAAGCACTGAGACCGAAGGAGGCTCCTCTCCCCCCACCCACGGCCTCCAGGAGCCGCCTGCTCCCAACAGAGAGATGAGCAAGAACGTTGCCTCCTCCGGGGAGCTGGCCGTGCTGGGCAGCCTGGCTTTCCTTCCCTGAATCGTGCGGGGAGGCAGCAGCCGCTAGGGCCTAGACGGAGTCTCCAGGCACTCGAGGGTGGGCCACCAGAAAGCAGCCCGTGTCCAGCCGGACCTGGCCCGGGGTCAGGGCGGTCACCGGCTCCACCCGGCACGCCCAGCGGGGCCAGGGGCTGACCTGCCAACCTCGAGGTCTCATCTGATAAAGGCCACAAACCCTTGTAATTGTTGTTTTCACCCTTTCTTTTAAGACAAGAAAGGAATCGGGAATGAAACAATGGCATTTTTGAAAAGGCAGATACCGCGACTCGGGCTTGGGCCGTAGCAGCCGCAGGCCCTCGGAAAGGGCCGTAAAACACAAGGTTGTCTCCACGGGCCATTGTTGCGTCTGGAGGCCTCCGGGAGCCCCTTTAAAGCTTCCATCTCGAGCCACCCGCATTGTTGTGCGGACAAAGCTTGACGGGGCCACAGCTCCCCTTGCCATCAGGGCACGGCTCATTGACGGGCCTGCCCTGTGGCCGCTCTCCCTGGACGGCCCACCCGGAGGGGTTTATGGCTCCTGCCTGCGCCTGGGAGCCAGGGGGCGGGGGACCCCGGAGACCGGAGGACCCTCCTGGCCTGCCAGCACGAACCGAACCGGGAGACGCCTGTCCTTCCCAAGGAGCCCCGGGGTGGGGGGGGGGGGAGGCTGACACCCAGTCAGCCCGGGCCCCATGCGCCTGAACACGGGGCATCCCTGTCCCCCCATCACGTGTGGGGGCACGAGCCACGGCATTTCCCATCGGGGAACTGCGGCTTCGGACCCCCAGGTACCAGAAGTTTCTAGGATGCGGTGGCGGCGTCACCGGTCACTTACCGCGTCGCACTTGATCACTTTGGAGAGGAAGCGGGTGAGGCGCGGGCAGGACAGGAAGCTGTTGGAGCTTCCCAGGTGCAGGCCTTGCACGGCGGCCACCACGCTCCCCGCTGCCACCATGGAAGGCGGGTTGGAAATAAACTTCACGTCTGCAGCAGGAAGGGAGAGAGAGGCGCGGGGCTGTGAGCAAGGGGGGCTCCACGGGACCCGCGGTCCCACCAGTCCCGCATGCGGGTCCAGCCTCTGGGCCAGGCCTGCAGTCCACCCCGCTCGAGCTGCGACATTCACTTGAAAACAACAAAAAAGCAAACGGAGGAAACCGCCATCGGCAGAGACAAACTGCAAGGGCCTGTGGGAGGGGCTCGTCGCCGCTGGAGCCTGGGACGCGGGGCTTTCTGCATTCTAAAAAGTGACAAACTGGGGCGCCAGGGGGGCTCAGTCTGTTACGTGTCTGACTTCAGCTCAGGTCATGACCTCACGGTTCGTGGGTTCGAGCCCCTTGTCGGGCTCTGTGCTGACAGCTCAGAGCCTGGAGCTGCTTCAGATTCTGTGTCTCCCTCTCTCTGACCCTCCCCTGCTCACACTCTGTCACTCTCTCAGAAATAAATAAAACATTAAAAAAAAAATAAAAATAAAAGGGACAAAGTTATAGGGGAGAAGGCACCGCTGCTGCAGGGCCGCAGGGACTGGAGCCGCCCCAGGCCCCCAGGGACCCAGCACTTGGAGGTGCGCACCGGTCTCCTCCCCCAGGGCCTGTGGGGGGGCAGGGGTCCCCGCGGGGGCACCAGACGCTTGTCGTCTATTCACCCTCTTCCTGGGACACTCACTACTCCCCCCCCCCCCAGGCACAGCTCTCCTAGGGCGAGCCCGGTGCTCCCTGCACTTGACACACAAAGACGGGAAAGCAGCAAGGATGTTTAAGTGGCCGCACGGGGCCCCGCGGGCTGCCATTCTGTGACACCCAGCCGGGAGTTCTCGGCGGGGGGGGGGCACCGAGCTCCGCATCTCGATCAGGGGCTCAGCCCCTTCGCCTCATCTCACGCGCACGGGGATCCAGGACTGGGCTGGGTGAGCTGAACACCAAAGGAGGGGCCCTCGTGGGCCCGGGTGTGTGTCCCCAGGCCCAGCCGAGGCTTCATCCTGGGAGCAGACGTCGGGCTGGGGAAGAAAGGAGCCACCCTGGAGGGCGGCAGAGCCCGCCGCAGGGCTCCGTGGAAACTTGAGAAAAGTTGTTACAGTCCCAGCAACAACTTGGCTGGACCTTAGACTCCCTCGTCTCAGACAGGTGGCCCACGTCCCCCTGAAGTGTATGTGTGCGTTTGTGGTGCAGGGCTTAGATGTGTAGGTAAGGCGTGTGTGCGTGTGTGCGCGTGCGCGCGGGCGGGGCTTATGCATGCAGATAAGGAACCACCTGTGCCCTCCGACACTTCCACCCGGTGCCCCGTGCAAAGAGCTGGGGCCACTGCAGGTGTGACAGTGGAGCCGCGCAGGATTGCGGACCTTGCTAAGACCCATTCGTTAAGCTCAATTCTCTGCCAGCTTCCAAAGCACTGGTAGCTTCTTCACCCGACCCACTGCCACCCCCTGAGAGGCTCCGGCGCACACGGTCGTAGGCCCGTCAGCAGGAAACCGAGGGCAGCGTGGGTGATGAGCGTGCATGTGCAGACATGCAGGCGCCTCAGTTTGCAGGCACACAGCGCGGAGAACAGAGTCCCAGCCCCACGGTGCCAGGAGCGGGGCCCCTGCCCTGCAGAGGACAAAGCTGTCTGTGGAAGCTTCTGCTTACACCTCCACCCCAGGCCAGCCTGTTGGCGTTTTCGAGCCGCAATGATGTCCCTAAGAGAGTGCTCCTCTTGTGACCGAGGGCTCGGCTGTGCCTCCATCACGTTGCAACTGTGCAGGTGAGGAGTCGGACCGAGAATCTTTCCAAGGAGGGACCTGGGTGGGCAGGTGACGCTCGCGTCTGGCCCGCCTGGCGGGAGGCATCGGGGCCCGGGGTGGGGAGGGGGGCTGGTGCTTGCTAGGGTGCAATCTTAGAGGCCCCGTGCCGGCAGCCGGACAGCCAGCACCAAAGCCCGCTCACAGCCTCTGTACCAGGTTTGCTCATCTCCCTGCCAGCACCCCACGAAGGCTACACACCCCACTTCCCCGGGGCTCTGGGAGAGGGGGAGCTCCAGGCTGCCCTGGCAGCCCCGGGGGGGGTGGGGAGGGTGTGTAAGAACCATTCCTTGCATGATCTCCAGGAAGCTGCCATTTCTCCGAACCACTTTCAGCTCCTTAAAAGGCTGCCTGGAAGTCTCCAGAGGCCGCTTGCTTCTGAGGCGCCCCAGCCAGAGAACGCCTCCCGGCCTGCTCGAGGGGCTGGTCCCTGGAGGCCGAGGGGATGGCCGGGGGAGGCTCCCTGCCCGTGCCGGAGGGCCAGCACAGCCGCCCGCAGATCCATCCCGGCCCACGGTGTCCCCCCCCCACCCCTTGGTTGGAACGGCTCAGAGGAGGGGGGTTCATGCCTGGTGCAGGAGGAGGAGGCTGGGGAGGCTGGCAGAATCTTCCCAACTCCCGCCTGACCCAGAAACCCCGGCCACCAGAGCAGCCAGGCGTCAGGAGGGTGCGGGTGACGTCGGCCCAGGGGCTCTGCGTGCGGCTCCTCGGCAGGGAGTGAAAGATGCCAACCTCCCCACTTTGATGCCACGTGGCCCTCCGACGGGATGAGCCCCAAACAGATGTGACAGCTGAGGCCCGACCCGGGGCAGAGGTGGCCCAGCGTGGAGCTGGCTGGGATGGGGACATGGGTCCCCAGGCAGGTCTCCTGGGCTCAGTCCATGTGATCGGGGGGAGAAAGAAAGCAGGCAGGGGCAGGGCCGGGGCCAGGGCAGTGTCAGGCAGGGGCCCCCAGGGACCATTCTGAGCCCTGCAGCAGGGAGGGAAGACTGATCCGCTGCTGCCAAGCACGGCAGCCCAAGCCCAGGCCGACTGAAGCCCCTCCCAGGGTTGAGCGGAGCCCAGCAGGCAGAGGCACCCCGGGCGGGGCCTCTGGTGGCCAAGCCGTGCTGCTGGCCGCCCCCACACGAGGGCTGCTGCTGGCCGCCCAGAGAGCACGTGGTGCAGGCACCGCGGGCCGGCACTCCCCACCCCTGTAGGCGCCCCTGGCAGGTGGCCCAGCCCGGGAGAGGCCAGAAGGGGGCCCCTTGAGGACATGGGGAAGGACTGGTGTGTGTGTGTGGCGGGAGGAACGGGAGTGGGGAGGCGGGCTGGGCAGCCGAGGTAAAACTTCTCTCAGCACGGAGTGGCCAGGGCCCGGCCAGCCTCCGCCACCTGACCCCAGGAGGGCACCCCCACCCCATCTAGCCCCAGCGCACAGCCCAAGTCCACTGCTCAACAGACCAGGGAAACAGGAGCAGCTCTGAGAGCAGGAGGGGCCTGGGGACCAGCTCTTCAGGTGGGGGAAACTGAGGCAGAAGGCAAGAAGCTCCAGCCGGGGCACCCAGGGAGATGAGGGGGGCAGGACCCAGTGGGCCTACCTGTGGCGCAGAGGGCGACGAAGGTCTGCGCGTGCTTGCGGATGATCTGTTTGTTCTCCTCGGCCACGGGCATCTTGGACAGGAAGTGCTCTATGAAATCGTGCGGGGTCATGGCGGCCAGGTTCCACTTGAGCTTGTTGACCAGCAGCAGCTCCATTTGCTGCGAACGTTGGGTGACCCGGAGTAAAAAGAGGTGCGGGGGCAGCCCCTCGCCCCCACTACGTGAGCCCGGCCCAGGAGAGAAGGGAATGGAGATGTTGGGGGCTCAGGGGGTGGGGGAGGGCATGCCATCCCAAAAGAGGCCCAAAAAGAGAAAGTGACGCGGAAAAGGCCAACTGTTCCCAGATCAGGACAGAGAAAGAGACCCCACACCTGGAACGCAAGACCTTGTAAAACCAGCGCGGGCCTCCCGCGCCGTGGCCGCTAGAGGGCGCGCGCCGCCCACTTTTCGGCCGCGCTAGGGGCGCAGGCGAGTGGGAGTCGGAGCGACCGCGAGTGGTGGGGCGCTGCGGCTGGGGGGCTGCGGGGGTCGCGTCCGCTCCTCGAGGGGGCCCCAGCGGAGTGGCCGCCCGCCCGTGGGGCACAGGGTGCGTCGGCGGCCCGCGCGGCCTCCTGCTCTCCGCACCTCCCCCACCCGCGGGGTCCTGGGGGTCCTGGGGGTCCTGGGGGCGTCGGTGGGCGGCGGGGGTCCCGGGTTACCAGCAGCTCGTCAGGCCGGATGGAGTTGTCGGTGTAGATGCACAGCTTCTCGGCCGTCAGCGGGATGGTCTCCTTCATCTTGGAGGCCACGAACATGCAGGTGGCCCCCAGCAGCTGCAGGCGGCTCTTTTTCACGGGCTCCAGCGACAGGAAGCGATCCAGGTAGTTCATGGCCAGCGGGAAGACCTCCTCCTCGCACTTCTGCTCCTCGCAGACCTGCCGGGGCACGGGCGCCGTGACCGCCTCCGCCCCGCGCCCTCCGCGGAGACCCCGCACCCCGCACCCCCGGGCTAGCGCTCGGGGCCGCGGGTCGTCCCGAGCGCGCGGCGGGCCGGGGCAGGGGGCGTCAGAAGCGGCGGCTGCCGCGCCCCCTCTCCGGCACGTCCCCGGTGCCCACCCACCCCGAAACTGAAAGGGAAAGTCCCAGCGAGGCTGGCACGGTGGGGGCGGGTGTGGGCACGGCTGGCGGCATGCGCCGCGCGCGGGCGGCCGGCCCCGCGGACCCCGGCCCGCGTGGGTGCCCCGGGGTCCGCCGGGCCGGGTCTTGCCCCAAATGGGGTGCGGGGCCGCGGGGCGGGCGGCGGGGCTGGGCGCCGCGCTCACAGCGCCTGCGAGACACAAAGGTGGCGTCCCAGGCCGCCGCGCCGCATTTCCCCAGACGTCATCTTTTCAAAAAATATTTAAAAATATTAAAAAAATAACTGGGTACATAAAAGACCCCTGAAAATGACCCTCGGGCGGACCTTTACCCAGGCCGGGGGTCGAGAGCCCGTTGCCGACTTCGGGGAGAGCCCCAGGAATTCAAACTCGGTGCCCCCCCCTCCCCCGGGCGCGGGCGCCGTTTCCCTCTCGCAAGGGCACCACGCCGCACTTTCAAAAATTATTTTAAAATATCTGCGGGTCCCCCGGGCGCCCACTGACGGCCTGAAAATGTGCCCCCGGCCGCTGGCTCTCTTCAGGCAGGTACCCCAAGCCGAGACCCCTGCAGACCAGGGTCAATCCTCAGCGTCTTGGGGGCCACGCGACCTTGCAGCTCGGCGTGCTCTCCGGCCCAGGCTGGCCGTGCGGGGCGCCCCGGGGCTCGCAGCTTGAACAAAGGGGCCCCCTCTTCCCGAGCGGGGTCCCCCCCAAGCTGCCCGCGCCCCGTCCCCGCGCCCCTCCCTCCGGTTCCCGGCGGCCGCGCGGCCCCTCGCGGCGGCCCCAGTGCCTCGCCGGCCGCTCCCCGCCCCCACCCTGCCCCCAATTATTAATAAACACTTTTGCTTCGCAATAAAAGAACAAAGATGGCGCATAATACTGGCACGAGCGGCCCTTGCATACGTGTCCATGGATATTAATTTAAAAATCAAACCTGTGCCCCCTCCGCCTGGAGCAGGCGGCTGGCGGCCGTGCAGCCGGAGAGGAGGCGCAGCGGGGCTCGGGCGCAGGCAGGGGCCACAAAGGGCGCCCAGGCCACCGGCCCGCACCCTCGAGCCCACCGGGGTGCCCCTGGCATTGGCCTTCTCCCCCGAAGGGACCCCCCCCCGACCAACCCCCCCCCCCCCGCCAGGAGAGGGAATCTCAATCGACCCCACCCCCACCTCCTACTCGTTCAAAAAACACCCGCAAGATCTATATATTGTGAAAATGCGGTTCCTAGCAACACCCCGGCAAACTTCAGCGTTGGGGTGGGAGAGAAGGGAGGGAGGCGAGCGGCAGAGAAGCGTGGCTTCGGCAACAAGTTGCAAGAACGTCCCGGGAAGGCGGCCGAAGCCCGTACCTCCAGCATCCAGGTGGCCACGATCTTGCGCATGGACGGCAGGACCTCCTTCTGCACGCACTTGAAGTAGGACACGGAGGGCGCGCAGGTCTCCTCCGCCTGGAGCATGGCCCGCAGCACCCGGTCGTTGAGCAGGTTGGCATCGGGGTACGCCCGGCGGATGGTGTCCACCTCGCAGCACAGGAGCTGGTGTGCCATGGCCGCGGCGGTGCTGGGCGGCCTGGGGGCGGCGGAGGGTCCCGGTCGGTGCGCGCTCGGCTCTGGCTCCCGCGGCCCCGCGCTCCCCCGAGCTCGGCTGGCCCTCGCCGGAGCGCGCGGACGCTGCTGCTGCTGCTGCTGCTGCTGCTGCTGCTGCGCCGACAGCCCTCTGGAGGCTCCAGGACTTTGCAACTTCCAACAAAACTCCCCTGTAGTCCGTGTGACGTTACTGTTGTTAAGCAGAGATCAAAGCCGGGCAGAGAATGGGAGCGGGCGGGGGGAGGGGGCGGGCGCAGGGGGAGGGGGCGCGGGCTCCGACGCCCGGGAGCGCAGAGGGGCAGAGCCCAAAAGCCATCCCGGAGGCGCCGCGCCTGCCCCGCGGCGGAGTCGCCCCCGAAGCTCGGTTTTCATAGAAATGCAAATCGCCCGAGGCTGCCTTTCTCCCCGCCGGGGAAGAGGGGTGCAAGGGTGTCTGCCCTTCCCGAGTGGGTCCCCTGGGAGTGGGTGGAGGTGGCTCTGCAGGGGGGGACCATGGCGGGGCGGGCCACACGCAGCCAGGGGAGAGCGCATGGAGGGGGGACTCTGCGGCTCGGCGACACCCTGTATACGAGCCGGGAGAATGGGCGCATTTCCGAAAACGCCACGAGGGCACCCACGGGCGGAGAGGGCGCCAAGGAATCTCAGCGTCTACATTTTCTTTCATTTTCATTAACACGTGTAAATTCCGGGATCCATTTAGCACTCAGGGACGGGGAGCAGGGTCCCCCACCCCGGTGGAGGCTTCATTCCCGCGCCAGGGGGGGTCGTTGCAAATGCCTGAAGGGGTATCCCTGAACCCTAAAGGCATTTCAGCCTAGCATGAGCTCGCTCAAAAAATAAAATAAATAAAATAAATGCCCGAAAATTCCAGCAGCAGCCCAAGATGGTGGCCAGCATTTCCTTCATCCTGTCCTCCCCGCCTGGGGGATCTGCGAACCGCCTACCTACCTTGGCCAGTACATCCTTTTAGGGGTCCCCAATCCCCCCAGACCCCACCCCCGACCCGGCAATTCCACAGCTAGAAAAACACCCTGGATGGAAGGCTGCATAAACAGGGGTCTCTGTCCTGCCTCATTTTTAAATTAAAAATAAATTCAATCGCTGGAAATATGCGTCTGTCTCTGCCTGTGACAAGACCACCGGAAGCTTCCTAATTGGTTTTGCGGGGAGTGTGGACCCCGCTGCACCTTTACAATCAGCCCCGGGCTGCGTTCGTGAGCTTGTGGGGGGCTGGCAGAGGCTGGCAAAAATTAGAATAACTGCAAGTTAAAGAAATGGGTGTATTGATCTGGTTTTAAACAAAAGTTATATTCGTGGTTATACCAGAGGGAACCCAATGTTATCGCTAAACTAATATAAAAGGACACAGAAACGTGGTCTTTAAAAAGTTTATAAAAAATATTTAGTCTTCTTTGGGTGCTTTTTTTTTTTTTTAATAAAAGGACATTTTTCCCAGTCTTAACTTTTAAAAAAAGTTTTTACAGTACCTGCCCCCGTTTAAGAAAACTGTTCATTTATTTCCCTCTGAACATAGTCAAGTGTCATCAAACCGCCGTATCCTCTTAACAGTAAGGGCTCTAAGAACACGGATGGAGAAGCCCCCTCCCCTTCGCCCAGGGCGCACGCAGCAGGACAGGACACCCCCCCCCACCCCGCCTTGCAGGGCTGACTCTTCGCGCTCCCCCCCCACCCCCCGCCGGGAATTAGGGTTACGAATATTCCGGGTCCAGGAGGGTAATTACGCCCCCGCCCCGGCTCACCCCTCGGCAGCGGCGGGTGGCCCGAGCAGGCAGCGCCCACCGCCCTGCCCCCTCCCCGGGCACCCACGCTCGCGCCCGCCCTGGGCCAGCCGGGGCCTCGCGGCCGCAGCAGCCCGCGCACGAGGGCGGCCCGGCTGCTTTTTCATTCATAAAATCCCGACCGGGCGGCTGCCCCGATGATTTATGGGGCTGCGCGCTCCCTCCCGGCCGCTTCGGCCCCGGGGGGCCAGGGGACCGAGCCCCGCGCGCGCCTCGGTCCGGCCCGGGGCGGCGGGCGACGGCGAGGGGCAGCGGGTCCTAAAGCGGCTCGCCCACTACGGCGAAAACGGCGAAACGGGCCGCGGGTCCGGGAGGGAGCCCCCCTCCCGCGGAGAGGGACGGAGGAAACTGGAATTAGCATGAGCCAATGGGGGCGCGGCGCTGTTACTAGGCGGACCGGGCAGATCTCGACTAGGAACTTCGTTGAGGTCCCCGCTCAGGGACGGGCGCAAAAGTGCAAGCCCGGCCGGCGAGCGTGAAGAGCCGTCCAGGAACCCGCGGGGGAGGCGCAGGAATTTGGGGCCTGGCGGGCAGCGCCGGCTGCCCAGCCCCCATCCCGGGGAGCTCAGTTACGCGTCTCCGGGGCTGCACGGGGGGCCGACGGCTCCGGGCCCTGGAGGCCCGCCGCTTCCAGCACAGCCGAGGGCGCGTTTTTATTTTAATGTTTTTTTTTTTTTTTTCCCAAAGAGAAAAGCAACTTTAAAGAAACTTTTCTGTTGCAGTTTAATTTTGCGCTGCCTTTAAAAAACCCACCACGAAGCAGGAACTGCGAGTTCTGGGCTCATTTAAAGTGCTCTGCGCTTATTTCTCGGTGACTCTTTGGAGACAAAGGGCCAGCGGCCCAGTCGGGAAGGCAGTCACATTGGTTGGAAAGAAAATCCCAAAGTAACTGAAATCCCCTTCCCGCGGGCCTGGCCCCCTCGCTCACCACCCCCGGGGGACCGCGGCCGCGGCGGCTCCTCCGCCCCGAGAGGGCGAGTTCCGCGGCGGCCGCGTTTGCCACCGTCCCTGGCGGTGGGAACCTCCATTCAGACGGGGGAAGGGAGCGCGTTCATTCAGGAACCGGCCCGCCGCGGCGCCGACCCCTGGGCGCACTGCGGCTGCGCGCCGGCCCGCGGCGGGGCTGCGGGGAGGTGGCGCGGGGCCCAGGGGACATCTGCCCCCGGCCTCGACCTCCCGCCGCCGCCCACCCCACACGGGACGCGAGCGGGCGCGCCCAGGTGGGGTCACCTGCAGCCGCATACCTGGCGGCACTTGAAAGGACCTGGCTGCAGCTCCGCGAGTTTTCCATTGTTAAGCCCTTAAGTCGCTCTGAAAAACGCTTCCGAACGCGGGGCCTCGGGGTCTCGGAGCGCGGGGGCTCCCCTCCCCCAGCCTGCTCCGCCCGCGCGCGCCGGGAGGCCCACGTGCCCGCCGCAGTGGCTCCGCCGCGGCTACGCGGTGCGGACGCGGGCGCTCCCAAGCTGCGGGGCGCGCCGCGACGGCCACACGCCGGGTCCCGGGCCGCCGCCGGGGTGCGTCTCCGCCCCTCATCCGCTCATTCCAGCCACCCACGGATGAACCCCCTACCCGAGCCCGGTCGTGCGCCTGGCAGGATGCGGGGACGCGACGCCGCTCCCCCGGCTCTGCAAGCTGCGGGCGCGATGTGCCCGGAGTTAAAGAGCAAACCCCAACAGGTGTGGGGGGGGGTGGCTCACAACGCCCCCGGTTTCCCTAGGAAGAAGGTGCGGTCTTAGGGGGTTGAAAGAAGAATTTAGCGCCTTGAGCTTCGTCCCTCAAAACGCACCGCCTGGTGTCCTGAGCTACCGTACGAGACCCCAAAGTTCGCCAGAATTCCCGGGACTCGGGCCCCTGGCCGGTCTCTGGCCAAGTGGCGCGGAGTGGGAGCTCAGACCGTGCAGAGAAGCGCCTCCAACCGAGGTAAAGAAATCGGTTGGGGGGGGCGGGGATAATGACCTAGGAGGCCAAGTGGTGCGTCCGCGTCTCCCCGGGCCAGGCGGGGCGCCGGCCTACCCTAGGCGGAGCAGATCCCGCCCCCGACCAGGGCGCGGAGCACCCCTGCGGAGACCCGCGGGGTGGGGGGAGGGGAGGGGGCGGGAAGGGGGCGCCGCGGACCTGCCCGGAGGAGGCCCGCACTGATGGCCTTGGGGACTCCCTCGTGCCCCCGCCCCGCCCCGGAAGGGCTCGACGCCCCCTCCTTCGCCTTCGAGGACCTGTCGCTCGCTCGCCCCCCAGCCCCGCGCTGACCCGGGGACCCTTCTGGGAGAGGACTCCAAGTCCCCGAGCCTTCTTCTTTGTGCCCTTGGAATGCCCTAGAGCGTTCCCAGCCTTCGCTTTGGCCTTGGGGGTGGGCGGAGGGATGACCGGGGTGTTTATTATGGGGAACCTCTGAGTTCTGGGGCTCCAGACACTTACCAGGAGGGGAGAGGGAAGGGACATTTTTTTTTCCATGTGCGGAAAGCGGGGTTGCACACCCAACGCCCTGTACCCCTGCTCTTGGGTCCCCTGGCCTCGCGCCGCCAGGGCTGGGGGTGCATCGCGGGTCTGGACCCTCTGGGCAGTTCTGGGCATGCGGAGGCCGAGGGGCCCGAAGGGCCGCGCTCTCTCCCCAAACCCCGGCGGGGGGCTTGGGGGCTCTCGACCGACTCCTGCGAGTCCTGGGCAATGCGGCGGGGGGCTGGGGTGCGGTCCGACTGGGGCCAGATGGGAGGCGAGAGCGCGCGCCCGGGAACCTGGGCCTTGGCTCCGGAGCGGCTCAGGGCCGCGCCGCGCATTCCGCACATTCCCGCGCGGCCTCGGTTCCGCCGCCACGTGGTTGCTCTGCGCGCCGCGCTTACCGTAAGGCTTGGAGAAGGCGCGCATCCGTGGCTCGGGCGCGCGCAGACCTCCCAGCGTGCGGGACGCGGAGGCAAGGTCCGGCCAGCCACCCAGCAGCCCTCTCCGCGTCCGTAGATCGGGTTATTGCGGGGGTTTGTTTGTTTGTTTTTAAGGTACCAAGAAGGGTTGTGCAGGTAGAGTGATGACATAGTCATTTGTAAAGGCAGGCGGGAAGGCCCCACTGCTCTTTGTACTTGGGTGACTGTCCATCTGAGGAACATGACCCGACCAGACGAGTGACCATTATGCCTTCCCAGAGGTGACAGAGCTCGGAAGAGGAGCTGCAGCTTCTGACCGTTTTCTTCTCCTTTTCCTTCTTCAGAATCAGTCGGTGGCTCAGTCCGAGGCAAGGCGCAGACTGGGAAGTAGAGCCTGGGAGGAGCTTAGCCCATAGGGAAAAGCCCAATAGGCTGGCTACAACTTTTATAAAGTCCTGAGGGTCTTCTTCTGAGAATCGGTTCAAGATACAGAGTCCAGCGCATCTCTGGATCCTGAGCAGCAGACCTTG